AATTTTTATTAAGCAGCAAGTAGCGAAAATGTGGCTCAGGGTAATTACATAGCTAAAACATAAATTTGTTACTTTTCATTTAATTGTTTTCGATCATATTTTTCGTGAAATGCTTTAGGCAAAAATTGCAAACTTCTTAAACACTAACATGTGTCACTCCTTTTTTTTTGTTATTATTTTTTTATTTTTTTTTTAAATATTTCATTACCAAAAATCTATTTTTGCATTTAACATAACATTTTTAAATTCAATGCATGTTCGAAAAATAGTTTTCAATAATTAAATTAGGTTTGTTTGAAATTTTAGCGCGTTCGTGTGCGCTGCGCCTAGTCTCATTGTTATATTTACACTCTTAAGATAACATATTTTGCCATTATAGTGTACGAGTATGTGGTTCCTTGCAAGAAAAGAAGCAAATAATAATAATAAAATAAAATACACATTTAATATATAAAAACAAAGCAAAAAAAAAAATAGTAATAATGCTGTTTGTGATTTAGTAGAAAGAAAAAGTGCTGCGCTTGTTTGCGCTCAAAGCAGCTGAGTTGAGAGAAAAATGTAAAATAGACACACAAACATACACACTCACAGTTGAAATAAAATGAAAAAATATACATATATATATATTTTAGTCTTAATGTTATAAACAGCAAGCAAAATATTTAAAAACTTAATTTATGTTTTAAATGCGATATTTTATAAAAGGTATGCATGTTTAAAATAAGTTTCGATAAAGTAATGCTAATTTACTTTTCTTATAATTTTATGCGGCTTCTCTGTTGCTAGATTCATGAGATTCATGTTGTACTACGTAAACGTTTACATTATGTTAACGTTATTAAAAATCAAAAATGTATAATTTACTAGATATATTAAAAAATGCGTAGCTTAAATTTAAAAATGTCGAAATTTGTACAACACACTTGACCACTTCGAAAATTATATTGCAAAAAAATAATTTGATATTGGAGAACAAAAAAAAAAAGTATTTCTTAGGCTAACAGTGTGT